CCACCCACATATATCACATATTACACATCCTGGATTTACATTATCATCACAGCACATTTTATGCATTGTCCTTTGATTCTTTTCTTTATAACATCAGAGACACTGAACACATCAGAGAGACAGCGGTTTGTCGGCCCGTAAGAAAAGTGTCTCTGGCTCTGAAAAGACTTTGGACCCTTGTTGTGGTTTTCCCTGGACATAAATCACAATCCATTATTAAAGTACTGTAATTACCACGGAGCATCGGTGGCTCAGTGGTTCAAACCCAGCCTGCTGTCCTGTGCTACATGTTGTTCCCTCTCTGCCCATACCGTTATGCTGTCCTGACATTAAACGCAACATACATGTTTCTGTATGTTAGACACATGACCTCATCACATGACATGACATCACTTCACATATGAACACGCTCTGCAGGCTGTTCCCATCACACCTCTCTCTGTTCAGCTGATGGAGCACGTTGATTTTTCATGTCTTCAAATCTCTAATTCAGTTTTGGATGAAATCAGTGGATCTGCTTTTAACTCCACTTCCTGCCTCTGAGAATCACGTTATCTGCACTCTACTGATGATGTCTGTTGGTGCTCACTGTGAACCAGCTTCCCTCAGGCTGAACAGACTCAGATCTCACTGAACTGATTCTGATCAGCTGCTCTGTTTCTCAACTCAGGCTCAGTCAGCTCAGAGATCAGGATCAGAGTTTGCTGAGCCTGCTTTCTGAAATAGGGCCCTGATAACATCCTGTCAGCAGTCCGACCTCTGACCAATCAGATCACTGAAGACAAAAGTATCAATGGACACATGTCCAGAGTCTCAGGTGACAGACAGGAACCTGTTGCCGGTCAGTTAGAATCAGTTTAGTATTTCCAAAGAGATCATTCAAACACTGAACGGATGATTTAACTGATATAAAGTTTATTTCAGTGACAGTGTTGAAATTTGACACCTGTAATTCATCAGAATAACATGACACACCTGTGATTCATCAGAATAACATGACACACCTGTGATTCTTCACAATAACATGACACACCTGTGATTCTTCACAATAACCTGATACACCTGTGATTCATCAGAATAACATGACACACCTGTGATTCTTCACAATAACCTGATACACCTGTGATTCATCAGAATAACATGACACACCTGTGATTCTTCACAATAACATGACACACCTGTGATTTTTCACAATAACATGACACACCTGTGATTCTCCACAATAACATGACACACCTGTGATTCTTCACAATAACATGACACACATGTGATTCATCAGAATAACCTGACACACCTGTGATTCTTCACAATAACATGACACACATGATTCATCAGAATAACCTGACAAAGCTGTGATTCTTCACAATAACATGACACACCTGTGATCCTTCACAATAGCCTGACACACCTGTGATTCATCACAATAACATGACACACCTGTGATTCTTCACAATAACATGACACACCTGTGATTCATCACAATAACATGACACACCTGTGATTCTTCACAATAACATGACACACCTGTGATTCTTCACAATAACATGACACACCTGTGATTCATCACAATAACATGACACACCTGTGATTCTTCACAATAACATGACACACCTGTGATCCTTCACAATAACCTGACACACCTGTGATTCATCACAATAACATGACACACCTGTGATTCTTCACAATAACATGACACACCTGTGATTCATCACAATAACATGACACACCTGTGATCCTTCACAATAACATGACACACCTGTGATTCATCACAATAACATGACACACCTGTGATTCTTCACAATAACATGACACACCTGTGATTCTTCACAATAACATGACACACCTGTGATTCATCACAATAACATGACACACCTGTGATCCTTCACAATAACCTGACACACCTGTGATTCATCACAATAACATGACACACCTGTGATCCTTCACAATAACCTGACAGACCTGTGATTCATCACAATAACATGACACACCTGTGATTCTTCACAATAACATGACAGACCTGTTATTGACGGACGATGTGACCATGTGACGGGTTCATCAGACAGATAACCAAGATATCCTGGGGAAGATGAACTGGTTTCACAGTTCAGACCTCTGATCAGCAGCTCCATCAATAATCAATACACTGATCAGATCAGCAGCTCAATCAATAATCCAGATCTGACCTTCATGATAAAAACCTCAAATTAAAGGAAATAAAAGATCAAATAAAAACGATGATTCAGAATGTTTACACTGATTTAAATTCTTCACACTTATTCATGTTTATTTATCAATGTTTGTTAATGTTTATTAATATTTAAAATGTTACCCATGACACCTTGCATGACTTATGGGTGCAACTTCTGTCTCTGCACTGAAACCAGCGATTTCCAATGGTAACAGTTTATTTAAAGCTTGTTTACAGTTTGTTTACAGTTTGTTTAAAGCTTGTTTACAGCCTGTTTAGTTTGTTTACAGTTTGTTTACAGCTTGTTTACAGTTTGTTTACAGTTTGTTTACAGCTTGTTTACAGTTTGTTTACAGCTTATTTACAGCTTGTTTACAGTTTGTCTACAGCTTGTTTACAGTTTGTTTACAGTTTGTTTACAGTACACTATTCTTCTTTCCAAGAGGGAAATAAAAGGTGGAACACATCACCTGTTATCACTCAAACAGGATCATGTGATCATACTTCTGCCATCTCAAAGCAACCGAGCGTGCTAACTGTTAGCGTGCTAACAGTTAGCTCCATTAGAACATTGTTAACTTTAACATGTCCCAAGCAGCTTAAGGTAACATCTGCTCCTTCTAAAGATGGTTTATGATTTCTGATGGCTTATTATGAGACACTAACACATAATTCGGTATTAACTGTAGCTCCATGTAAAGTGAATAAATGTGATGTTTCCAGCTAATCCTCCCCTTGTCTGTGTTAACCACGCAGTTTACATGTTTTGTTAACCTCTGATTTATTAAAAACTGTTCTGCGTGAAACATGAAGCTGAATTCAGCAGCAGACTTCAGTCACAGTGATTTAAATAACTTCATGTGTTTATATGATATAAAGGCAGTACATTAAATCAGTAACACATTCTCAGCCCTGATGATTAAATACATATTTCACAGTTTATTTTCTAATGTAGGTTGAGACTGAAGTCAGACGGGAAAAGACAGGGATATCATGTACTGACGCTGAGTGACGCACCTGTCAGTCTATGTGTCATTCTCTACTAATAACTCTGATTTAAACTCTTGTGGTTCTATTTCTCATGTCAACAGTAACCATGGAAACAGGAACAATCCCTGTTTGTCCTGGTCACATGTTCAACACACAAGTGCTGAAGACACAAATGTAGCTCAGACTGGTTGTTGGTCATCACAGACACGGACAGTGCGACAGGTACCAGAGCTCCACAGAGACATTTTAGTAGATGCTGAGTTAACATTAGTTAAATATTTGTTAAATATAAACTTAAGAAAAATTACTTTGGAAAAGAACCAGCATTGGCGGTTAGCCACCAAGAGTAGCCACCAGGACTAACCACAGACAGTCTATGGGACTAACTAGCTTAATGCTACTTCCTCTATCTCACAGGAAGTTGCGCCCAGAATCATTTCTACAGTCGTGTCCTCAGGAATAAGGTGGATACATCTTTAAACATGTTTCAAATGTTGAGGTTTCAGTTTCTGGTATAAATGAGAAACTCAGCATCAAAAAATAAATAAATAAAAAAAAATATGAGACGTCACAACGATAAACATTTAAAGGACATTAAATGTTTTTTTTTAAAAGTCCTTAAAATGTTTTTTTTTTTTTTTTAATTATTAAAATGTTTGAAGCGTCAGTGAGACCTGCAGGAAGTGGTCACATGTACCTGTGATCAATAAAACAAACACTGATCAGTGGGAACGGTTCTAAATGTTAGATGCAGACTAAGTGATGACTTCTTCTTCTTCTTCTTCTTCTTCTTCTTCTTCTCCTTCTTCTCTATGTTTTGGCGCCATGGCCCTGTGACATCATCGCCCTCTGCTGAAGTCTGTCTGACCTGATTAGAGGTCAGTCCGTCCCACTTCCTGTATTCAGTGACATCATCAGAGTCTGTCACATTCAAACTCAGGGCCAGTCTCAGAGGGGCAGGGCGTGTCGATGTAGAACACTTCCTTGTTAGTGGGTGGCGGCGTGCAGCACGGGCTTCCCATCCCAGAGTCTGGGCTGGGGGCGGGGTAAGGCTGGTTCCCAGGTGAGTACTTTTTCTCGGTGCGGTTCAGAGGAGCTTTGAATCTGGCGTCAGCCTTCGGCTTGAAGCGCTTCAGCTTGACAGTGTCCTTGGCATCACGCGTGCATGGCAGCAGGACAGCCACGTCTTTGCGGAACTTGGAGCTGAGTCCTAAGTAGATGAGGGGGTTGTAGAAACTGGCGGACTTGGCAAAGAGGCGGGTGAAGATGCTGGTGAGGTTGGGCACGTGGAAGCCGCAGGCAGACCACATCGACACGACAGCGTACGGAGACCACGCCAGGATGAAGGCCGTACAGATCACTATGGAAACCTTGAGGAACAACAAATAATAACAAAGCTGAGTCATCACTGAATGACATGGACTCACTCCGAGTCCTCGTCTGTCCTAACCACCTGAGGTGGGACCAAATCACTGTTCTCCAAGTCTTGAGTCAAGACAGGCGAATCCCAAGTCAAGTCCCAGTTGGTTAAAAGAATTTGACAATAAAAAAAATGGTCGGATCTGTGATGCTCGATTTCAGTACAGCTTTCGATATCGATATCATGAGCTTCTCATAACAAAACTAAGGGGTTATGGTTTCTCATCAACTGCTCTCTCTTGGATGGAGAGCTATCTGGGAGAAAACAGAAAGTGTATTTTAATGGCAGTTTTTCAGAAAGCAAAGATGTTTTAAGTGGTGTCCCACAAGGCAGTTGCCTTGGCCCACTCTTATTTTCAATCTTCACCAATGATTTGCCTTATGTCCCAGATCAGGCTAGAATTGTAATGTACACCGATGACTCAACCATGTTTTGCAATTTTGAATGTGACCAAAACAAAGTGCATTGTCTTTGGCACTAGAAGATTGTTGGCCACAGACTCCCAATAAGATTTATCCATAGGGGGGACCCCAATACAGCAAGTTCAGAAGATGAAATTACTCAGTGTCACAATGAATGATCGCTTAAACTGGTCAGATCACATTGATGCTACTGTAATAAAAATGGGGCATGGTATTGCTGTGTTAAGGAAATGCTCTCATTATGTCATGCCGTCCATTAGGAATCAGGTGACACAGGCTCTTGTCCTTTCACATTTAGGATACTGAGTCGATGCGTCGACTTGTGCTGCAAAAAAAGATATCAAAAAACTTCAGCTTGCACAAAACAGAGCCGCAAGGCTAGTTCTGAACCGCTCTTTGAAAACCATTGTTTCAAAGATGCATTACAGTCTGTCATGGCTGACTGTTGAGGCGAGATCAGCATCTAGTCTTCTAACACTTGCTCGAAATGCAATGGTTGATGGGAAACCAGATTTCTTTATAGAACAGCTAGTAAAGATAGGTTCAACACACAACTATCAGACTAGACAGGTTAGTATGGGTCATTTAGAACTTCCAAAGCCGAAATCAAATTCATTAAAAAAACACAGTCATCTATAGAGCCAGTACCCAATGGAACTTGTTACCTATGCACATCAAACAAATCAAAAGTAAACAGTTATTTAAGAAATCAATTAAACAAAAGTTAATGAAAGAGACAACACAGGAGGAAAGATACTAACTGTTATGGTTTTTGTTTTTGTTTTCTGTTTCTTAATCCAGAACCACAATCAGTTTAAATCCTGGTACATGAATTGTGTGATAACTTCTGTATATGTAAGGTTTAAAGGAGCAATAAGCGAAATCGTTTCACTGCTAGGTTTGCTGTTGTGCACTGCCTGTAGACCAAAACAAAGTGTGTCATGAGCCACACCTCCCTCTACCTCTGCTCTCCACCCCCCACCCCCAACACCGCCAGGCTCACGGGCTGCCTGCTAGGCTAAAACATCGCTCTTACTCACGGAGAAGAGTAGGAATGTTAGCGTTAGCTCCCGGTGTTAGCACTAGCCGAGTCGGCTGCCACCGGTTACTGGAGTAACTTAACAGCTATGAAGCGCTTCTATCAGCTCTTCTAGTCACTGAGCCTCGCCTCCATCTCAGCAAATATATTACAAAAATGTAGCCTCGCGGGGAGGCTACATTTTACAATGCTAACTGAAAATGTTAGCTGGGTTGCCGGGCTAACTTACTCACTTAACACAACCGTAACGCCTGACCCATTGCTGGGACCGAGCCGCTAATAACTCAAGCTCCAGGCATTAACCCATCCCGGTGTTTCCTCCGCAGGCTCCACTTCACTCAGCTGCCCGATAAACCCGCTGCTTCTTCCCAGTTTAACCTGAATAACAAACCAGGGCTCGGTGCTCCGGTTAGATCCAAATGGAGAGCTGGGGCTAGCTCAGAGACTAGCGGAGGCTAACTGGCTGTGTTTCTCTCTGGTCATGCTGCGGCTAACGCCTCGCCAGCCGCTCCCAGCTAGCTCCGGATTGTTATTCAGGTTAAAGTGGGAGAGGCAGCGGGTCTGTGGGGCAGCTGAGTGAAGTGGAGCCTGAGGAGGAAGCACCGGTTAGCCCCGGTTTTGTTCCGCTCTCTGCCACTTCACTTCCAAAATACGCGCTGCCATTGCTCACTGGCTGTAGCCTTTTATGGGGGGGGGGGGGGGGGGGG